TCAATTCTTTGGCGCTCAGCCTTTCTTATGGTCCAACTTTCACAGCCATACATTGCAACTGGGAAAACCATGGCCTTGACTATACGCACTTTTGTTGGCAGGGTGATGTCTCTGCTTTTTAGTATGCTGTCTAGATTTGCCATAGCTTTCCTCCCCAGGAGCAAGCGTCTTTTAATTTCTTGGCTGCAGTCCCCATCTGTGATGATCTTGGAGCCCAGGAAGATAAAATCTGTCACTTCCTCCATTTCTTCACCATTTAATAGACAATTGCTCAATTGCCAGCAGAAAGGACAACAACAAATTAATAGGCGTAGGCTAAATAATGTCAGAGCTAATCTGATTTCCCGAAGAGGATGGTCCATGATGGGGTATTTTCATAGTGGGGGTCCTGTCCCATCAATTTAAACTCTTTTGGTGGTATGGCTCATGATACGACCTTTTGCCCTAAGGCAGTGTTCTCCAAACTTGGCAACTTTAAGACTTGTAGACTTCAATTCCCAGAATCCCCAGCTAGCATGGCTGGCTAAAGAATTCTGGGTAGTTGAAGTCCACAAGTCTTACAAGTTGCCACGTTTGGAGAACCCTGCCCTAAAGGGTTGGGATAGAATTATGCAGTTCTTGAAAAAATGCTTGCCTCTGGCAGAACAAATGTGTGTTTTTTGTGGAAACCCCAATTATTTCCTGTTTCCTATAATTCATTTTTTAGGAGACCCTTACAGGAAGAGGCATCATGGAAGAACCTGACCTGACACTAGTAAGCTCTAACGACATCAGCGCTGCAGAATCCGATCTTATACGCGGTGATCATTTTGAAGTTAGAGACTGTCCCCAGGTAAAAAAAATTGGGGGTGGGGATCGTGGAGCGATAACACATTTTAATTTGGCCAAAGATGAAGAAGGGTGGAATTATATAGAATAGGATGCTTTGAATTTGTAGACCTTTTTGCTACTTCATAAGATAATATTTGACAAACTGGTTACAATAACAGTTGAGACCAGGATGGCTGTCACTAAGGAAAATGCAACATCAGGTGACCGCATCCCTTAGCGTTGGCAATCCTGGCTGCTCTTGAAACCTTAAGATGCACGGCTTGATTTGACAAAGGTGAGAGAGCACCTGGGAGACTCGGTACAAGTTGTGCAGGCAGCAGTAGGCAGGAATGACATATTACAGGGGTAGGCAACCTTGGCTTTTTTATGACTCGTGGACTTCAACTCCCAGAATTCTTGAGCCAGCCATGCTGGCTCAGGAATTCTGGGAGTTGGAAGTCCACGAGTCATAAAAGAGCCAAGGTTGCCTACCCCTGACTTATAACCATCCCTACCAGCTTTGTCTTTGCTTGTGGAAAACCACGAGGAGGTTGCAACTGGCAATCATAGGACCCTGGCTCCTTGCCACGTAATAATGAGCCAGGTACCCAAGTGACTGGATCATGATCAGGTGATCACAGGGCTGTTGCGATGGCAGGGACTTCACAGACTACTTGTACATCCATTTTGTCAGCACTGAACTGTCACTGAACAAATGGACGTAAGCTGAGGACTACCTGTAATTAATGCCCCAAGGCCATTACATTCCAATTAAAAAGTACTTTTTTTTAAACTTTAGCTATTCTTTGTTTTAGGTGTGTATGCCTCCCTTTAGTAGTTTTATTCTTTTGAACGCATCAGCCCTCATTATGCCAACAACCCATTACTTACTGTATTTACATATTGTTTTTTGACAGAGCAGAGGATTTTTCCCATTAAACCCAGAGGTGGATGAATTTCCCACGCAGCTGGACTATCCGCCAGTAACTCCAAGCCCTCAAAATGATCCTGATCAAAACTCCAAGCCAAGAGGTAGTATGTACGCAGTATTCTGCAAATGTGTGGAGTGTAAATCAGAGCCTTGTGATGTTCAGAGGTGATAGCAGCTTGAATTAAAAACCGTAATACTCAAGGCAGATAATAGTCTTGTGAATGAAGGCAAATATACACATTCCAGGATAATGTGGAAGGATACAATCTTAGTCAGTCCCTGGGAGCAAAGGTTTATAGTTCTAAGCTTTTGGGCTCATGCTGGAACCCATCGTAGGGGGAACTTCTCTCTCTCCAACATGTGCACTGGGCTGTTCTACATGTATTTATATGGTGCCTGGTTGTGTGTGGCTTTTAGTTGTTAATTAGGCTGTTGATGACTGGTTATTAAGTTGGCTAATAGACAGAGAAGTTCCCTAAGGATGGGCTTCAGCAGAATCCCAAAAGCTTAGAACAGGGGTGTCAAACTGGCCAGATGTGTCAGGCGCAGGCCACGCCCACCCTGGCTTTGCAAAGTCAAAAAACATTGCGGTATATCACGTGACGCGATCGAGTTTGACACCCGTGACTTTAGAAAAATAAACCTTTGGTCTCGGTGACTCACATTGGATCCTGCAGATAATAGTCTTGCTGCTGATTCATTCATCAGATTGTTAGAACATTCTCCAGTCTTGCATAGATCCCCCCCAAAAAAGAATTTTAGTAAGACAGCTTTACTCATTTTATTCTAAAAAGATTTTATAACATTTCCTGTATCAAACCCCATTGAGTCCCTGTATGCAACGAAATTTCATTTTGAGGTATGCCGATTGGTGTACATTCAAAGTGACAATAAAGTTGTTATTGTTGTTGTATGCCACACTAAAGGAAAAGTGCACCAAGCACATTAAATGACTGGTTTAATTACACTTGCATGCTTTTGCATTCAGGGTGCTTTTGTGGGTTCAATCTTGCATAAAGTCTGATCATAATGCTTGCAGTATCTGGCTCTTGATGTTAAGGCTGGTTTGTTAGTATTATTCCTATGCAAAAGGCTTTGAACTCAAAATCAGTGCTAGGAATGTTCCAAGCATGAAAGAGCACAATTTTGGGTAGGAACGCTTCGGCTGTGATTAAACAAACTGTTTTGTGTTCACACAACTGTTTCAAACCCCAAACATTTGCGTTTAAAAAGGTTTTGCATACCCGTTAGCCATTAGTGGTAAGGAGTCTGATCATTGTTCCTTATTTTCCATATCTATAAAGGGTTATGCTCTGTAGAAGTCTTTTGCGTTGCTAAACGGTTTCTTGCCCTCAAAACTTATGATGATTCTTGTTACTCAGTTTATTATGTATTTTCGAAAATAACAGTGCTTTGTAGGGCTGGGTCTGAAGTTGTTGCAAATCACACTTCCTATTTGTAAAATGCATCTTTTTTTTCCTCACAGTAATATTGTCAGAGCTTGCACCTGTCCACGACAGCCTGCAGGAATCATTTTTGAAACGGAAGAAAGATTTCATTGAGAGATCTTTGAAAAGGGTGGAGAAACTGAAAAACCGAGAGCAAAGCTCAGAAAAGGCCCAGAGTAAGGCACCTCCACTGAAAAAACCACAACTCCACAAACGAAACGTGAACTGGACACCTCACGGTAATTATCAGCAGACAAGTATAAATTGAGGGAATATGAAACGTGGACAGTCGTTTTGCTTGGGGCCTTTGCTATCATCCAGACAATGAATTGCTTAAAAATTAATTTGTGACTATTGTGATTTGTAAACATTC